CACACACACACACACACACACACACACACACACACACACACACACACACACACACTGCCAGTTACCATTTCCATAACACAGACCATTATTGATTGAATTTTGTTATACAGAGACTGCGCCATGTTCAGCACACATCACATTGTTTCTCAACATGCCTTTTCAATTTGGCCCATTTAAAGATCAATTCTCCATTTGGCCTGTAAAAGCACACCCGAGAAGCAAATGTGGTACACAAAGGAAGCTCTCGGTGGAGGAATGCACACAGGAAAACAGCATTGAAAAGGGACCAAAGGGAACCCAGCAATCGTCCTCAGCATGGAGAGCATTAATGAATATTTGCATACGGTCTTTGAAATGGGACCAATTGGCAAGGCAGATGATGAAGGCATAGGGGTGCTGTGGCTGCTTCCCACCTTGCATTTATGTTTATGCAGGAAGTTGATAAACTGGATCCCAAGGGTTCGGCGTGTCCACGGGACTGAATATCAAAGGTGGCAGGTGAATCTTTGCGCTGGCGTGCGAAGACTGCAAACTGGTAGCTCCCTCGAGGACATGTCATCGCTAGCGAGAGAGGTTTCATCTCCGTCAAGGTCATGTCAGGACACGATGACAGATGCAGAAACCACCCCTGACCTGACGAGGGCTCCTTCTCACTGTCTCAAATTTGCAAGCAATCCATGCATTTATGCATACAAAGCAGGCTACTGTAGAAGTGCGCTCTCTAGAATAAATGATTTAAATTTCTGAAGTCACTCTGACTTACAATATCACTCTTCCCTGTGAACCCGGCAACCCAGCATCTTTCAATGCCACATTTTTCTACAGATGAAAGACTGTCAAAGAAGTGGATTCATCCTTTCAAACAGCTCAAAAATAATGAGATGTCCTTGTCCTTTTTTACATTGCTGGCATGAAGGTAGGATGAGAAAACATTTGACGTAGCCCTTTTATGATGAATGTCCTCGTGTCCAAACAAAAAATGTTATGTAGAGAAGAGGCTTTAAAGGTACCGTGTGGAGTCTTTGACCACTAGTGGCGATATGGAGCAGTGCATTCATAAGT